AAATGCACATACAAAACACAATATTTTGATCCTGTTTAAAGAAGTCAGAAATTTAAATTATTTACCTGCTTTCTTCCAGTAGCAGCTACTCACTAAATCCAAACCAAAATAGCTTAACAGCTTCTGAATGTGTTTATCTCAGCTAATTTACTATTTGTGGGGGTGGAGATATTGCCTAGGTGTAATTACAAACCCTCTGTATCTGAAGCTAAGAATTTCCTTCAAGTGGTAGACACAAATAATTTTGGTTTTAATTTAGTACCATTTATTATGGAAAAAGACTTTGCAACATACCTGTTCTGTCTAGTAACATCTGTAAGGGATTAATCAGATTAAAAAAAATCCCACATCACTTTATCATTTTCATCTCTGAGGCAGTTTAATGCACTTAACTTTTCCAAAAATGTGCTCATTTTGGTCCTGATTCAAGAAATATCCATCATTAGGACAGCAGAGGGACCCAAAAGTGCATCAGTTGCAGTTTAAGTGTCTGCTTGAAATTCTGCTCATGTTCCTCCACTAAACTGATGCAGCTTTCACTGCTCACAAATGTCACACGCACCCCTGTATGTCATGAAATGTGAATAGAATATAGAAAATTGGATAAACAATCGTAAGTTTTGCCAAGTACAATTCTAGAGCCACCTCACCTTGCCCTAGGAACCAGGGTGCCTTAGAAAGTTTTACTAGAATTTGTTACATTTACAATATTCTTACTGGGTCACCATTAGTTTTTTGAGTATGACTCAAACTGGGGGGGAAACACCTGAGGGGTAAATTTGGGTGTTCACCAGTGGAGCTCTTGGCTTGAAGCTCATCCATCATGCACAAAGCTCCTCCAGCCCCTGAGTCATTCCCATGCCACAGCTCAGTGCCTGCCATGGAGCTGGAGCCCACTGGGCCAATGAAACAGAGATGCAAAGATACAACACACCCACTCCAAGGAACTTTTAAGAAGTGAGGGGAAAAAATGATAGAGCATTGGAAAAAAACAAAGCTGGGAAGGAGGGTTTTACCCACAGTTTTACTACAAGAACATGCTCAGAAGCAGAACTGTTGAACGAGCTCAGCACTGACACCCATTTTTTTTATCCATCTGTGAATATTTTCCTCCAATGTGAAACAATTTAAGCAAATTTATTGACCAGGCTGTGAACCATCATTCATGCCCAGCTGTCTGGCCCTCACTCTGTGCTCTGGGAGGAATGTGACAGATCCAGCTCAAAATCCAGGGGTTGATCTTGCAGCAAGTAGAACAGGCTGGAGAGGAAAAGCCCAATCAGATCTGGAGGTTGGGAGAATTGACTCAGGAATTTACAGTAAACTCTGAGTCCTTTGATGCCCTGGTCCTGAGTTTGACCTGCTTTCCTCTCAGGAGCAGCACAAATTGTGAAGAACAAGGCTGCCACTGTTGAATACCAAATGCTTTAACACCACAGATATTTAGCACTAAAAATCTGATGCAATCTTAGTGTTTCAAAACACCAAGGTCAAACTCTTCTGGGGTGTTGCAGGGAGAGGAGGGGACATCACTGAGCAGCAGTGACCATGCAGGCTCTGCTCCAGGTCGCCCATCCACACAGGAGCTGCAGCCAAACCTGGCCCCTGCTGTGATAAATGATAAAAGCTGCTCTTTTCTGATACATAAACACCTTGACAAATAGTGGGGTGTGAGCAGAGTGGGTGTGCAATCCCAACAAGGCAGTTTAAAGGAATGAAAAAGCAATGCAACAAAAACTTTCAGGGGGTGTTAATGATGCACTTTTTACTGTGCCCAGCACCCCAGTGCAGTGCTCTGAGCATTATGCAATTTGAGAACAATCTCCCTTTGACTCGTACCCATTCTCAACAGAAAATAAATTGGTGGGAAAACCATTTGCCAGGAGAGACACAGAAATTAATGGCATGGCATTGTATGTGACTGTGTGTGGCAAGGACACAGGCCAAGCTCGGCACGGACTCCTGAGAGCTAAATGAGCATCCAAGTGCCCAAAGCAGCATCAAAGGGATCTCCAGAGAAGAGCAAACTTCCTAAATAAGCATAAATAATGAAGCTCAGGGCTCCATGAGGAAGCTCATCAGTATATAAATAGTTCATTTTGAAGTTCTCTATTATAAAACACTATCAGAAAAGGGCTGATGCATGAATGAGATTGAGGCCCTGAGTGATTATCAGTGATCCAAAGGATAATGGGGGATGATAGAGATGGGCTGGGAAATGCATGTCTAAAGTGGTGTGGGGCAGCAGATAAAGCCAGGGCAGTCAAACTCAGCACTGTGAGCCCTCAGAGCTGTTTTTCAGCATTTTTAGGAAAACCTAACCATAGCTGTTCCCCTGCCATCACGAGGCAGTTCTTGCTGAATCTTTGGGGCTGCTCTATCTAAAGCATGTCCTTGCAGAGCCCATTCAAAGCAGAGGTATCAGCACCAGCCCTGCTAACAAGATATTGCCAATATTGCTCACACAGGAAAGTTGTAACGCCTGCAAGATGTCCCTTGTCTTCTCCAGGATAGAGCAGCATTTTTATCATCTACCGCTGTTATTCTCTTCCTCAGCATTTTATATTCACTGAAATTGTTCTCTGTGAATCCCCCTCAGCCAAAGCACTTCACCAGGCACCCTTTGTTGTGTGCAGCAGTTGCTAATATCCACCAGTACCTGCCACAACTGCTGTGGGACAACAGCGAAATGTGCAAGGATTCTGCCTCTTCATCCAGCATTTCTTGTTTTAAGCAGCTTTAATGAATCAGGAGAACTGTGTGCTTTTCTTTACCCTCTGAAATACAGTTTTTACCTGGCCTTTGTCTAATTGGGAGCAAGTATTCAGCACTTCTCATATCAGCCTGAAATACATCTGAACAGACAGAGCGGAAAATTGTCTTAAACCCTTTGGCATCCACTTGCTGTCAGTTGAATGTCAAGTCAGGAATAAAAATTGGCAACTATCTGTAGATTTCACAGTCATGCAGCAGGATTTGTGGGGCTGAATTTGCAGTTCAGTTGTCATTCCATGCACCTCCAGTGATGAGCATTCATGCCACAGCGAGGCATTGGAGTTGTCAGATATCCAGGGCTTACTGAAATAACTTCATTTTGAAATGGACTGTCTCCTCTGGTCTGAATAATCAGACAGAACAACATACAAAATGTTTGACGTGTACTGGGAGCCTCAGACAGTCTCTGACACATGAAAATATTTGGAATAGTTCAGACTCCATTTAATGCTTCTCCAGAGTTTTGCAGAACGGTAAATTATGAGCTCTGTAATTAAGTTGTACGCTCCCTCTCTTTAATTATACTTTAATACTGTTTCTTTTAATAGAGATAGTGAAAGCCATTAATCAAATACTTCTCAGGCACCTCAATATCATCTAAAAGGAAAGTAAATGTTAGCAGGGAATAAACCTTTAAACTTTGCTGTCCATAGTTATTCTCCAGGCTTAACTACATTTTGGAAATACAAGTAGGTCAATTCTGCCTTCCCTATTGGAGAAACAAAAAATCAGCACAGGTGTTTCCCTCTGCATTTATGAGCAATAAATACATTGTTGTGGGGCTAAACTACCCATTTATCCTTGCAGTTACTGTGGAGTTTGGCACAGCCACATTTTGGGTATAGCCCAGAGCAGCCCTGCAGTGCAGGCAGGAGCTGCTCTGTGTGACCCACTCCCATCTCCTGAGAACCTCCAATTCTTTTATTGCAGGTATTAGCCCTTCCTATTCTCTTTAGTGCTATTCCCTTCAGCTTCTGCCTGTGGACTATTCTATGAAGGTGCTGAACTCTTTTCTGAACCTGCTGATGCCACCTGCCTCCACAACCAACCATGGCAACAAAATCCAGATTTATTCCTGCTGCTTTCACCATTCTAACCCACTCTCCCATCAGTGCCCCCTGATTCTTGTAGTCATTTGAACATCAGGCTTGTGCTTGCCTTATCCACAGCTTCACGATTTTAAAAATCTCAGCCAAGTAAATCCCAGCAGCATTTTTAGAAGATAACCAAATCAAACAGCAAAACTAGTCTTCAAACAGAAAATATGGTAAGGGAAATAATATTAGTCATAAAAGACATAACAACTTGCCAGCAGGAGCTCTGTGTTACCATCACTTTGAGATCACACTTGCATGTTCCAGCTCAGCTTATAAAATATTTGGAAGGGGAGTGCACATCACCTTCAGATCAGTGAATGCTCTCAAATTCTGGGACAAAATCCCCATGTCACTGAAATAAAGTCAAGATTGTTTTTTTAAAGTTTCCTTGTATAAAGCAAAAGAAATGAGTTGCTCATTCCCTGTAACCTGTTTGTAGGCCAACTTTGAGGAAAAAAAATAGAGGCACATGTTTAAATACATTCCCTTGGTTTGGATTTCTCTCTCTGCCCAGCACAAACTCAACAGCTGATTTAATTGCAATGCCTTGACTTCTTTCCACTGTTCAAAGTCAAAGGAATTCCAGTGCACCACACACCAGTCCCACATTCCATGATCTCTGCTGCTGCAGCTTTTCCAGGAAAGGATCACTGTTGTAAGCTCAGGGATTCTCCCTGTGCTGTCTGTACAGGGGTCAGGCAGCTCCTTGATCAGAAATCAGCTCTAGGAGACAAAACTGCAGCTCTTCACCCTCCATGCTTACCTAAAGCACCACTTTTATGCATCAGGTTTCTGGTTTGCTCTGTCAAAGGCAGCTGGGGTTGGCACTAAAGCACACAGAGCCCTGAACAAGGAGCTGGATGTTTTCTGACAGGTCCCTGAGCCGGAGCCTCGCGTGCTCAGCCCAGCAGCTCATTTGTGCCTGCTGTCCTGACAGCCTGACATGTGCTGTCAGGGCTCCTTTCCTGGCCAGCCTGGTGCTGCACCACTTCCCTAATCCACAGAGGCACATACCAGGTTCTTGTTCACCTCCTGATGCAAACCCAGTGTCTCTGATCCCCCTCAAATTATTATTGATGGTTCCTCTGTTAGGCAAGCTAAATACTGAAGGCAGCACAGGACACAAAGTATGAAAAAAGGTATTTATTATTTACACAACTGCTATAGTTCCTTAAGAACAATATATACCATTTTTTATTTGAAAGGGTCAGTCTTCTTTCAAATCCATGAACTGCATAATGCACAAGTGTTGGAAATGCCAAACAGCAGTCACATCACACTTCTATAGTGCAGGCATAAGCAGCGCAAGTAAATGATATTTTAAGAACAGTATGGCTGAATATTGTATTTAAACACAGTGTTTGCACTTTGACAAGATTTAGCTAGAAGAGAACAAGGGTTTTGTTCATGCTTTGTTAGGAATGTGACTTTCCCATCTGAGGTTTAAACCCTTTATCTGAGATATGGGGATTTTTCAGGCAGACTGCTTTTTACTGGTCAAATAACAGTGGGTTTCTCTCCCTCAAACTTCAATCTTTTGTTTTCCAGTAAACACTGCTTTATAGTACAAGTTCACACACTGGGGTAAACTGGCCACAGAGTTGGTACTTTCCCATCTTACTGTCTTGCACAGAGAAACACTGACATACTAATACATACCAAACTTAGACAACTTGTAATTTATAGACTTAAATACTGGAATGGGAGAGGGAGACTGTTTCTAAAGATGGAGGGAATAGAGGACTTATACAATTCACACACTGCCAAGGTTGGCTTTTTAATCAACATTTTTGGTCTAAATATTTTTTTTTCTAGTCTCAGAATGGTTTTGGTCTTTGATGGTTATGGTTATACTTCAGCAGCAAAGGAGAGGAAAGTATTTTGAGAAGTAACACCAGAACTGAATGCAAGAAAAAGCAACTGACTTGTTTCTCCCACTTTGAGCTTATTGCTGTGATCTTTTAAAAAACCCACAACCAACCAGCTGGAAGACCAAGTTTAGCAGTCGTTCTGGCATTGGGTCCAGTGTCCAGCACTATTATACTCTAGCACAAAAGCAAGGAAAAGTCCAATGATCTTAGTGATGTTCCCTTCAATTCAGTGCCACACAGTTTTATTATTGTTATTGTCCTTGCTTCTTTGAAAGATACCTGAAAGAAACAAAAGTAGAGTTTTTCACCAAGTAAGAGGTGGCCACAAATATACCTGAGATCTTAAGATCAAAGTATGACTCTGCTTTCTTTTCTCACCAACAATCCTCCTACTGATAACCAAAAAATTAGAAATGCAATCAATACCACTTATGATTTTTATTTAATTTCAACATCTTTCAATTCCAAGATAGGTTATCTTGCGGTAATTCAAAGTCATGTTTTAGTTAGACTCTATCAGGCTTTTTAAACAAAAGGGAGGAAGGAAATGGAAACCTGTTTCATTCTAAGAGGATGGAAAATTACATCAGTTGGAGAAGTGGCTTTTATATCCTTTAAGATGAAAAGGCCCATTAGTAATGGCACTCCTTCAAATAAATTCAGGACTTTAATGGACTGATGCAGCATAACCTGAAAAGAACAGCCCTCCAGCAGCTTCTCTGGAGTCTGAGTGACTCCGAACTGCTTGTGTTCTGATCTCACACCTCTCTTAGCACCAGAGCTGGAGCAATCTGCCTGTGTGATGTGAAAAGGCTTTGCAAATACTCTAGGAGAAAGAATCAAACCAATTTCACTGACAGTGTGAAATATCCAGTGAATTTCACTGCTTTTAAGGTTTAACATTTCACTTTCTGTTCTATTCAGAAAAGAAAATTTGTATCAAGCCTGTAATGCTCCATTTTTTAAACACCAAAGGAGTGGTTTTTCAACAGCTTTTCTTCACATGCATTGAAACCTCTGGCTGTTGCATAAAACTAAGGATAATTTTGCTGAAGCCTTTCAGTTAATCACTTTCTAGCAAGAATTAGGATGCTAAGTGGTGCCCTGAGCACTTGGAAAACTGTTTGTAAGACAGTTACTTGGAGCTGTTGAATCCTGCAATACCACCCAACCTGGATGTGCCTAAGAACTACACTAACACAACAAAGCTTTCAAGGCTGGAAAAGTTGCCTTAAAGGATTTGGGATCTGAACCCACAATCTAACTTTGCTGGGGTGGAAAGAAAGAGATTTCCAGGGACCATGTTCCTTCAAAATTCTTTTCCTTTTAGGATGCATAATTGCATAATTGGCAGTGCTGAGTACTGGAGAAGTAGGAAAACACAGATGCATTCTGTCAAAATCTTGTCATTTTAGGGAAGCTGACCCAACACTAGAGCCCTATTAAAATTCTCCTCAAACTAAAGGACCTTTATAACTGTAAGTTACAAAGTTCATCAGTTCCATGTAGGGTCAGGGACAAAAGGAAGCAAGAATTTTGCCTTTTTTCTTACCTTTCCCAATGTTTGTGATTCAGCTCCAAAAAGTCATCTAATTTTGCTATTTCTTTGAGGTATTGGGTGAGCTTTAGAAGCTCCTTGTCTTTATCCCGATTTAAATGTGCTTTCATAAAAGGCCTTATCTGTACAAAAGAAAGAAACTGGGTATAACCATTTGCTCACAGAAAGAAAAAAGCTTTAGATTATCTATCATTTACCATCTGACTAAAATATATTTTCAGTACTATGACAAGTTATAACTTTTCACAGGTAAGAAGAAAAAAAACCTTCTCCAGTAGTGGTCAGATCCAATTTGTCCTGTTCATGCAAACTAGACTGAGGGGGTTTTACCTTGCACCAACCAGAAAAAAATTCTTTTCTCTTGCACTTCTTCAAGCCTTTCCCCCCCCACCACAGACAGACTGATAAAATGATCAGGAATGGACTGCCACATTTTCTAATTGATTTCCCAGAGCTTTTTGCAGGAGGGGTTTTCAGCTCAGCGTTCTGTGTGGTATCATTTGAACCAGATGCTTTTTTTCAGCAAAAAGCCCTTGACTACAACCAGAGCTGCTGTGAAAAGAGGTATCAGAAGTAAAGCTTGGAATACATTACACCTGGGCCTTGTTTTAGTGATTCAGTGCTCTTGTCTGCAGCTGTTAACAATACTTTGACAAACATTTTTCCAGTCTGAGCTAGAGGGACCTCTCTGGATAATCCCCTCCCAGCAATATCTTTGCTATTCCTGATTCTCCTTCCAGTTAAGATAATCTTGCTAGATCTCATCAACTGCTCTCCTCTTCACATCATGGATACTTTCGAAGAGATACCATCTTGAACTTCTGCATTTGAAAACACCTTTTTCTTTTTTCGAGAGATTGATGCGAGTTCTTTTAGTACAACACTGTTCTACCATCACATGTATGTAGAAATTTAAGCTGCATTCTTATTCGGAACCAGCAGTAATAACAGAGCACACACTGGTTGGCAGTTGTATAAAATGAAATATTTGCTGTTCTATAGTCAAAATGGCTCAAGGTACTAATTATTTCTCGTATAGAATACTTGTGATTATCCTGTCATGCTATCATGAAGTACAGCCATTTGTTGTTTGACTTATTTTTGAATATGACCACTATGGAGATTGAACATCACATTTTCAATGGTGCCTGTCAGCAATGCCCAGGCTGATTACAGCTTGCAGGTGTAACTCAGGCAGAAATAACAATTTCATTGATTTTGGTAATCTCTTAAACACTCACTTAATAGTGACACGACGTTTATTTAATACTACTATTAAGGAAATACTAAACCAGACAAATGGCACTGTGAATTAAAAGGTTTAATAAAACATGCATTTTTGCAAGTTAAGAATAGTCTTTCTTTATGCTACAGCAAAGAAGTAGGAGAAAGTACTACTTGAAGTATCAAGAAAAAGTAGCAGTAAATGAAAATTCCAGTTTCCATTACCTTGAGTCCGTTCTGTGGGTTCATCAGGAAGTTTCGGCCAATATCATCAAACATAATAGTATTTTTTTTGCTGTAATATTCTGAAAACTTTCCCCAGATAACACCAAGAGGCTTCACCTGCAAACACAACACAATACAAGGTACCTGAGGTAAATGAGATCACGTGCAGGAGATGAAAATGCCATCTATAGGAACCTGAGTCCTAACCTGAATGAACACTTGTATTCTTTTGCTTTACCATTAGCAGGTAGTTTGGCTTTAACAAAGGAAGATGTGAAATAATGTAACATAAATACCCCCCACACTAAGGAAAACCTTTCTGTTGGCACTAACTTTTCTTGCAACAGTTACCTACTGTTTGATTTGAAAGCTGTGACTTCTAAAGATACCACTAAAAACATTAATAGACCTTCAGTAGAAAAAATCTGTGCTTCCAAGATTCTTGCAGTTTTATTGCATGAAAACCCTCAAACAACTTTTCTTGTTGAGTATTTTAAAGGGGTGTGATAAGATGCCAGTGAATGTAGAAAAAGATTAGGAGAAAAATTGGTACTTACATCTATGAGTCCTCTCCGAGGAGTGTGCACTGTTATCATGGCAGCACTGTCCAGCATGAAAGTGATCTTGTAGTTTGCATTGGTACTCACCCCAAGCTCCTGCATCACAAAGATTTATGATTAAAGCTTCTAATTATGACAGTTTTATGCTCAACAACTGGAACCACAATTATAGTACATTGTTTGTCACGGGGTGAGCTGTGGAGGTTTACCAGAGACAAACTAAAAATAGATACCTGGGGAAATGTGCATTTGTTACATAATGAGGATCATAAAAGTGCACACAGGGATTTATTTTTAGTGTTTAATATCAGGAACTTAACAGCTGATGCTGGCAGAAAATCAAAGCAACTTTGCAGAGAAGGCAAAATACAGAGAGGTTTTGCTCATACCTTCATGCACAACCTCTCACAAGTTCTCCACACCTCAACTTAACTTTACAATTGTGTTCTGGCTGCTCTTTGTTCCTCACAGTGATCTGCACAAATCACAGCCTAATCCAAGATGAAATACTCAGAAACATCTCTCTGTCACTGTTCCCTCCTGCACATGTCCAAGATAACCAATATAAGTGTCAACTTGCACTTTTAAGATTTGGTAACTCCTGAAATACTCTAAGTAAAATAACCTTTTTAGAAATAAAAAACTTAAGACTAGATAAGGGAGCATCATTTCCATTTCAGATCCTTTCCAAAGCTGAAAAGTACCAGTAAAATCTGCTGACTTGGTACAACACAGATATTGCTGACAATTTCTGGTGTGTGAAACAGCAGCAATATGCAAATCTGAGTAACAGTGAGAAAATACCCACTGCAGCAGCTCTCTTGCAACCATCCAGCCACACTTACCTGATTTGCTTTTATTTAAAAAAGCAGTCTTGCAAATGAAATGCTCTTCCTACCTGGGTCAGTATCCTGTTACACTGACAGAACCAGCTGTTCAAGAATGTTTGAATTTCAGGCATAAAAGGGTGGTAACTGAGAGATTAAATCTGCTTGTCTGATACTCTCTTCTTTTAAATGCTGTTCCTGCTTTGTACTTGAAACCAGAAACTTTAATGCCAGCTATTTCTGAAATCACAGCTCCCTGACCAAAAGTGAAACCCTGGGAGGGAATCACCCCTGGTGCCATCAGTTTAAGGAGAAACAGAAAGTGGCATCTAGTGGCAGGAATCTCAATGGATCAGGGTCCAGGAGGAGGGATGGAAAAGCAACCTGGAAATGCAGAAAGATGACCAGTGCAGGGGGAAAAGCCCAGTTTTGAACAAAAACCCTTGGTTTTCCACAAGATTGAGTCCTAGCTCTGCTGTGACAACACAATATAAATATGTGACACTGCCACAAGAATGCAATGCTTGCAAGGCTCAGCACTGATTTTACTTGCACTAACTCCACTTCATAGTTCTGACTAAAGATTCTCATTTCTAAGAGGCATTTTTGTTCAGAAAAAATTGTAGCAATTAATTATTTTGAGAAAGAGAACACTGGAAAAATGTGTTTTGCTCTGTGAAAACCTGAAAAAATAGTGCATAATAAAAGCTTAAATTTGGAACGGTTTTTCCTGGAATGGAAATAACTTTTGATTTATAAACACAAAAAACCCCTAACCCACCAACCAAATACACAGCAATTCTTAGTAAGCTCATTAGATTTAAAGCTGACTGCAAATATGTTTACCACGAGGTCAGCTGTTCAAAACTGGCTTCCTGCCTGATTCCAGCAGGGAAGAAACCAGAAAGTGAAAGAGCTCTTATGGGATGTTTAATAAGGCAGAGGAAGCAACAGAACCCCCAGCTGCAAGAGGTAAAGATAAATATGAGAAGAGTTTCCTCTTGCTAACCTACTCCAGCATGTCACATCTGTCTGTTCCTTTAAAAAAATCACATTTCAAGACTGGAGCTCTATAATTAGAGGTAAGATGAAAGCAACTGTGCAGGGCTGCGTGACAAATCCATGTTTCAGCAGGTACTGACTTGTGTTTAGTTCTGCTAAATTTAGCACCTACTGCTGATAGTTTGTGTGGAATTCTAAAATTAGATTTAATCTAGTTTTGTGATAAAGATCATTTCAAGTGACTGTGGAAATTGAAACAACTCAGCTATGATTCATACAACCTTCCCTGTTTCTAACCTGCTCTACAACGCTGAGCATGAGCACAACTGCATGAAGGTTTACCCAGACCAGAAACAAATCACATGTTTTCAGAACAACTTACTTTCATTTTGGCTTCAATCCACTTCATATTAGTAGCAGCTGAAACGAAAGGGAAAAAACAGAAAGAATACTTTATCAAAATAAGTCATTGGCAGGCAAAAAAAAAAAAAAAAAAAAAAAAAAAAACCCAGGAAATTTTTTCATTTAAATATCAACTTTATCAAAATAAGTAATTGGCAGGCAAAAAAAAACCAAAAAACAAAAAAACGCTAGGAACTTGTTCACTTAATATGTCAATTTTTTACACAAAATTTAATTTTAGAAAGAGCCACCTTTGCTGCAGCTTTTAGGGCCTTAAAGAAAGTCTTCCTTCATGGAAGTCTATTTTTATTTGGAAAAGCTTACTTTTCAAATGAACAACTAGATGAATCACTGCAAATATTTAAACCATTTTCTAGGTCAGCTGTTACTGAACCACTGTCTGTATGACCATGGATACACCTGGCTTGAGGAACCCCACTGCCTGTGCAGGATTTCCTCCTGGAAACAATGATAGGAATACATAAAATCTGGAAAGGACAAAGTGTCAACATTGCTTTCTGATTGAAGAATATGGAGAAACATTGTTCAAGATTATGAAAATAGAATTTTGTTATGGTTTGAATTTTAATATGGTTTGAACCCTGCATTGGCTAAAGTCTGCTCTCCAGCTGTTGGACAGGAATTGAACAAGAATGCAAAGGCAAAGGATCAACCAAGCACCCCTGCAGACAGGAGAGTTTGGGTCATTAGGCAATTCACTATGTGCTGTCTGCATTGAGATTATTTGTAAAATCACTATCAAACAGTGTTCTAATTTTGATTATACAGCTCTGTTCCAAGCACTTCTTTGTACAAAGAAACACTCAGTGAAGTGATGCTGAGCTTTATCCTGTGACTAGACCCATTCCTGTGAGCAGTATGTGGGGCTTTTCACATAAGAATTGGTATTTTTCTAAAATATCTCTAATAATTGTGCAAATTACAGCCAAATGTTTCTGTATCATTTTACATCTTGTGACTCACACTAAAAAGCAATATAAAAGCCTCCCACCTGGAGTCTCTGCTCTGGATGACAATTTACAATAAATTCTTAGGCATAGAGTATAATACTTACACCAAATTACAATGTCATAGTCCTCATATGCAGAAGTCAGGAATTCATGAAGGTATGGCCTCATCAGCTCTACCCCAGTTTCAGCACATGACCTGTGGTCTAAACAGAATATAACAGCTAAGCAATTCAGTATTAAAGTATTAGATATTAAAGTTCAGTCTGATTTTCCTTTCTATCCACAGACTCAAAGAGTTTCATGAGGGGAGCACTGAAGCACTTTAAGGTCATGAATGATTTGATATCAAACTCCCATTCCCATTTCAAAGGTGGAAGGACAAAGCAGAGGGAATATTTACCTGTTGGTCTCACAACTACTTGAGGGCTTAGCAATAATTAAATCAAGAGGTCTCTGAGTATGAATATCTTTGAAGAGCCAGGGAAAATCATCTGTGCACTTAGCAAATTGGTAACTAGCCAGATAGGAAGCAGATTCTTTCAAGCCTAGTGCAGTTAATTGTGTGAACATATACTTCAAAGGTGGAAAGACAAAGCAGAGGGAATATTTACCTGTTGGTCTCACAACTACTTGAGGGCTTAGCAATAATTAAATCAAGAGGTCTCTGAGTATGAATATCTTTGAAGAGCCAGGGAAAATCATCTGTGCACTTAGCAAATTGGTAACTAGCCAGATAGGAAGCAGATTCTTTCAAGCCTAGTGCAGTTAATTGTGTGAACATATATCAAGCTCATTTCAGAGATGCAAACATTCCTGCTCCAATTCCAAAACTGCTGCAAAATCTGCCAGCAGAAGACCTCTCAACAGAAAGTTTAAACTTGGAGATAGGTTGAATTTTGATGTCAGATTGGAGACAAATGCCATCCAAAAGGAAAGCTAAGGAAAGGCATAAGGGAAAGTATTATTTACTGCTCACAGTCATGCTGCCATGGCATACCTACAAACCAGAAACTTAAGTTAGAAGGAAAAATCTGGCTTTCAAAAAAACACCAGCTTGACAGAATTTTCAAGAAAAACATGTTTTTGTGAATGTTTAGTAATGATGTGTAAATAAAATTTGAAGCTGTTCTCCCACACCCCCCAAAAGTAGAATCAATCAGGTACAAAATGGGATCATTATTTTACAATATCTTGCCTTGCTACTGTGATGGTCAAGATACAAGTTATCAAGGGAAAGAAAAGACTATCAGGACAAAAGACTAAATTGTTGCTTTTTATGTCTTTTTGCAGCAATTAAATAGTTGCTGCACTAAAACCAACAACATGCAACATTTTAAAATGCTTTTTAAAATGTGAGCAGAAGACCACAGAAAAATGTCAATACATTCCATGTGTAATTGAAGTAAGCTCCCTGTAAAATACCAGCTACGCCAAGCTGTGTTATCATCATCTTCCACATACAGTTCTTGGTTTTGGCTGGGATTGAGTTGATTTTTCTTCTTGGCAACTGGTGCAGTGCTGGGTTTTGGGTTTGAGAATAATGTTGATGGCACACCAATGGTTTAGCTGGTGCCAAGCAGTGCTTGCTCTAAATCAAGGACTTTTCAGTTTCCTGTGCTCTGACAGTGAGCAGGTGCACAAGGAGCTGGGGGAACTGGGCACAGGGATATTCCACAGCACAGCACCTCATGGCCAGAGCATAAACAGGGGGGAATTGGCTGGGAGACACCGACTGCTGCTCAGGGACTGGATGGGCATTGCTCAGTGGGTGGTGAGCAGCTGCATTGTGGCACTGCTTTCTCTTGGGTTTTATGCCTCTTTCTCCTCTTTTCATTACTATTATTATAATAATTAGTATAATATTTTATTATCTTTCAGTCACTGAACTCATCTCAAACCATGAGGCTTACTTTTTTTGTTCTCAATTCTCCTCCCCACTAGGACAGGGCAGTGTGAACCACTAAAAATGACCAGATAGATGTATTCATAATAAACAATATCCAGTGATGTGTGAAGTGTCTGTATTCATGCTCATTCCAGAGCTACAGCTGGGAAGTGGATGCTCTGTTAGTGCACACATCCTGCCTAGGATTAGGGGATGTTTGTCCTTAAACACCTCAGGCACATCCCCAACAAGCAGTAAATAAGGACAGTTACCCTTCATTTTAAGCCCAAGCAGTTTCTGACGCTCTGGTAACACTCCAGTGAGGCCCTTCAGAGACTGTTTCAGGTCCAACACTGTGTCTTCTTCTGACAGCGAGGTTATTGTGTACTCCTGTCCACCCCATTTTATTATGAGAGAGAGAGACATCCTTGAAGCATATGTTCAGTGTTACTGTCTGAAAAATCTGCTGCAGGAGGGAAACACAAAGATCACTTAAGGAAGAAAGAGGAGAACTACTCTTTCCAGAAGACAAACCACAACATCTACTTAAAGCATTCTTGATTCTTTATTATATTGGACATCAAAGAGCTGTTTGTTTCCCCTGAGCAGATGATAAACGTGTTGAGAAAGTGCTGAAACAAAGGGAGAAAGAACAGTGTTAAAACTGGGGCTCTGAGTTCCACTTTGATGTTTTTAGCAATGTCACATTCACATCTGCTGGGTGCTCTGTGCAGGTACAGCCTGTGCACTGCACACTCGAGCAGAGCACTGCAGCACCACAAAAGCCATTGCAAAGCTCAGAAATGTCCTCTGCAACACTTATGCAACCAAACCAGCCATGGGTGCCTTTACAGATGCAATAACACAACAGCAAATATGAAATCCCTAGCAGATATGAGCACATAAAAATAGTTCTCAGCCCAACAGTCCATTTTTGGCACTGGATTTCTCTAATCCCTTCCACTGTGCAATACCTGCACTAATGCACACCCCAGGTCACATCTCACTGTAGCAATATCAAAGCAGGAATTTGAAAACAAAGCCAAAACACACACCCACACAATGCAATTACACTCAAAGAACTGCATTTTCATGGCAGTGCTGACAAAATAACCATAATTATACTATCTTTAATTTACACGACATCGTTTATAAAAATTGTATTTAACAGTTTAGTCCTACATCAAACACAGCAGAAAAACAAGATTTTTTAGCTTAATGCAAAGGAAGAATATGTTTTTTTTCTCTGTTAGGGCTTAGAAATAGAATCAAGGAGATAGAAAGGTATGAAAAGGCTGCTACAGACAGTCAGGGGATGCAGAGAAGGCCTCTGCACCACTGATGGTGAAATTGTCCTCAAATGACTGATATTCAAACAGGGAGCAGATCTGTGAAAAATCTAGGGTTATCAACCTTCAAGAAATGCAGGTCTAGCAATTCTAAAAAAAATCTCAGAACCCAAAACTCTGATCCTTCTTCCTCTCTGGCTTTGTATTCTCAGAAATTACCCACACTCAGAAAAAAAAATCTTTCTCTTTTACACAGTAAAGGCTATGGGGAAGAAACCTGCAATTGCTCAGGCATAGCCACCAAGCTCAGAGCAGATGAGAATTAGTCTAGGTACAACCTCCTTGCTAAGGACACTACAAACCTCACCTCCACACTACTGCCTCTGAGAGCCGTGAAAACAAATTGAAGAGGAAAACTTGTATCACTGGGAAATGAATTTATTTTTTCCCCCAAAACTGTCAAATCAGACAGATTGGGACCTGGTATGACACGGTGAAAAAGACTCATGAAAAAGAGGTCTTAGAAGCACTAAGAAATTCTACTGAGGCTAAGGCTGTATGGTGTCATTATTATAAATTATTCCCATCCATAATCCTTAGACCAAGTCAGAGAGGAGAGTTTATTGTCTGTTTCCTTACCTGTACCATACACCTTAAATCATTCTGCAAGGACATGCACAGGGCAAGAACTGTAAGAAACTTCTGCAGTCTCTGTCCAGCGCTAAACTGAAAAGATCATCTCTCCAAAGCTGAGCACCTGACCAACCCTCGATCCTCACAGATCTATAGCTCTGTCCTGACAAATGCTACAGGAAATAAGACACTTTTATTCCCTGCCAAAGCACTCAGGGGTCCGAATCAAGGAAAATGGGAAAATGGTTTGGGAGCAGAAACAGGGATTTCCAAGGGTTGCACCATCGGGGCTGGGTGCTGTGTAGAACTGAAGCTAATTTTGCTTCCTTTGGTTAATTTCATCTTCAAAGCCTTTACACGACCCTTGGGCCACCAAGACCCAACGGGTTGGAAACCCACGGGTCAGAGAAAGCCTTCCAGTTCTGCTGCCACATTGCAGCACTACACCGCTCTCCTTGGAGGACTCTGAAGACAAGCATCCACATCTCTGAGCTCGGCTAAGCAACCCAAACCCCCTGAAACACCCCAAGTGCCCGCGGAGCGCTCGGGGCCGCGCTTCCCGCAGCGCCCTAACAGGTGTGTGCGACGGGCTTTGGGGCCGCCAGCTGCTCGGTGTCAGCGGGGCTCTCCCGCCCCGCCGAGGCTGCCCCGGCGGCGGCGCGGCCCGGCCGGGAGCGCCCGCCCCGGGCAGCGCCGAGCTCTGCGGGGGATGCTGCGGCTCTGGCCCGGGCGGGGAGCGGGAGCTCCGCGGGGCTGCTCCCGGCGGTCACGCAGCAGAGCGGGAGGGAGCGCCGCGGAGCCCTCGCCCCCTCAGAGCCGGCCTGAGGCCGCGGCCCCGCGGAGGCCGGAGAGGCGACTTGCACGGGCAGCTGCAGGCATGAGTGTGTCTTACACTGCCAGCTGTGAAAGGAGTTTATTGTCTGTTTCCTTTTGTTTATTCATATTGTTCTGTGCCCAGGGATCACGCCTGAGACCCTGCAGAGCTGCCTCCAGTTCTGGGGTAGAAAGGACGTGGAGCTGCTGGAGCGAGCGCAGAGGAGGCACCAGGATGATCAGAGGGATGGAGCAGCTCTGCTGGGAGGAAAGGCTGGGAGAGGTGGGATTGTTCATCTGCAGAAGGGAGGGTTTCAGGGCCATCTAATTGCAGCTTTCCAGGACCTGAAGGGAGATGACAAGAAAGCTGGAGAGGCTCTTTACGGTGTCCTGGAGTGACAGGACCAGGGGGATCGGTTTCAAGTTGTAAGAGAGTGGGTTTAGATTGGATATTAGCAAGAAATTATTTTCTGTGAGGGTGGTGAGGCCCTGGAACAGGTTCTCCAGAGAAGTTGTGTCTATCCCATCCCTGGAAGTGCCCAGGGCCAGTTTGGATGGAGCTCTGAGCAGCCTGGCCCAGGGGAAGGTGTTTTCCCACATCTGGGGGTTTGGAAGGAAATTACTCTCAAGGTCCTTCCCAACCCAAACCATTCTGTGATT